CGCCCCCCAAGCAGAGCCTGGTCAAGAGCTGCGGCGGCGGCGGGGGCGGCGGCGGCGGCGGGGGCACCCCCAAGATGAACGGCGGCAGCCCCCCCGGCTGGTGGCCCGAGTGCACCTGCTCCAACCGCGACTGGTATGAACAGGTGGGTGTTCCGTCCCAGGTGAGGAGGGTGGCAGGCAGGGCGATGCCCTCTCCCCGCATCTTTCGGTTACTCCTGGCTCAGAAGCCCTCCCCCCCCGCCCCACAGCGCTACCTCCTGGCTAGGGGAAGCCCTGGGGGTCGCCAGGTGTGGTACCCCCTAAGCAAAGGCCACGCAGACCATCTGCCCCACACCCTTAGCAGTGCCAGGTGCTGGCACTGACCCCCCCCCCCCCGCCCCCTCCTTGGCTTCCTCTTCTCATTCCTCTTATATAAGCTCTGCCAGGCTCCGCTCGGCCCCCTTGGCCCTTCTCTTCCTGGAGGAACCAGAAACCTTTAGGCTGATGCTTCTCAAGCATCCTAACCCCCCCCCCCCAAAAAAATGCTGCCACCGGCCAGCTGAGAAAATGGATGGATGGGAGCCTGCATTGGAGGCAGTAAAATGGAGGCTGGGTCTCCATCACCATCTTGCCCGCGCGTGCCATGCTCGCTCGCTTGCTCGCGTGTGCCTTCCTTCCGGCTGCCACCTCCCCCTCGGGCTCGCCCGGTTTCGCCTTTTGCCAACCTGGGTGCCACGGCGGGCAAGGGAGGAGCGGAGCATCCAGGCAGAGAGATGCCCTGTGCTGACCCGTCTCTGGGCGGGTGGGGTGGCTGTCCGTTCCCAGCCATGACTCCCCCTCCCCAGGCAATGCGCCTCCCCCACCTCAGACTTCCCCTCTTTCACTCCCCCCTCCCTTTGCCAATAATAAGGTTTGGCATCTCCTCCTTTTTCTTCCTGTCCAGCATCCTGGCAGCTCGAGGTACGAAGCAAGTCACATGGCCAGGGTTTGGGGGCTGCCGGCTTCTCCCTTCCCTCCCCCCCCAGCACTGTCAGATGGGTGTCAGGATGTCCATCTCTCCCTCCCAAGATGGCAGTGACAAGATGTGGGGGAGGGGGAGGCAAGATGGAAGGGGAAAAATCCATCTCCTGTGTGCGTCCTCTCCCCCCCCTCATGCCTCTGATGGGGGAGTTCTAATGGGAAAAAGGGAATTTGAGAGCCATGGAGGAGATCTCGTTGTGCGCTGATGCCTCCCAGCAGGCAAGGCAGATTGTGGCAGCTGCTTTTTTTGATGTCCATGAGGCTAGGCTAGGGTTGCATTGCTCTCTGCATGCAGAATACGCCATGTTAGTCTCTCTCTCTCTCTCTCTCTGTGTGTGGTGTATGCCTGAGCATGTGCTAGCTGGCTGCAGAAAGGGAAAGTGGTTGGCTCACCAGGGTAGTGAATAGGCAGGCAGTGTGCGGTGCTGTTTCAGACAGGGGAGAAGCCCCCTTCTCTCTTATTCTCTCCCTCTTATTCTCTCTCTCTCTCTCTCTTTTTGTGTCCCTGCCAAGCTGACAAGTCCGTAGGGACGGAACCCGGGGGTGGCTGCTGGCATTACTTGCAATTGCTTGCCAAGCATCGGAGATGTGCATGCGTGTGTGTGTATGTGTCCCCCCTCTCTTTGGGGGTGTTGTTCCTGCTTAGGCAAAGCCTGTGTGTAGGGGAGAGCTTGACGAACCTCGGCTGCCCCCTTTTTTGCCAACACGTGCGCAGGAGTGGGTGCACGCTTGGCAGAGGAGCTGGGTGACACAGAGGTGCAGCCCCCACAGGCTCTCTCTCGGGCACCGGGCAACAGCAGAGTTGATGCGCTGGTGCATTTGTCCCTTCCCTCCTCGGGCCATTTTTTCACCAGCCACCCTGAGAAGCAGGGGCCCCTTGGTACATGGCCTGCCGTCCTCTCCCTGCTGACCCAGCCCACTCCCCAGGCACCTTTTCTTCCTCCGTTCATGGCTTTTGTCGGTTGGCTGTGATCTCCAGGGTTGAGGCATGGCAGTGCAAGGTTCAGCCTTGCTCGGAAGGGAGACGGTCACAGCCTGTGCTGAAGCCTTTCTGCCCCATTTCTCCCCACGTGGCCCATTAGATTTTATTTCAGCTTGGCTGGCCCACCTTCCAGCCTGCAGCCAGAGGTCAGGCAGGCAGGCAGGGAAAAGCCCCTTCTGATTCTGTGGTGCTGGTCTGGAGAGGCCCCCCGCCCCTGCCGCCTCATCTCCAGGAAAATTCCACGAGCAGGCAGAACAGTTTCTGCAAGTGGAATAAAGGGTCCCCTGTCAGAAAAGAGACATTCCAGAGCAGAGGCTCATCAGCACAGAACAGGGTGGCCTGGCAACCGAGCAGCAGCCACGGCTCCCTTTCCAGGCCCTTCCAGGTCTGAGGAAGGAGGGAGGGGGGTTGCTGTTGCTAGGGAAGAATGGACGCATGCTTCCCCGTTGATATCAAGTCAACCAGGAGGAGGACACTGGGTGGGGGGGATGAGAAAGAAGGGCCGGCAGATCCGAAAAGAGGCACAGAGGGATGGAGTGCATGTGTGGACGGAGGAAGAGACGGTGAGGGTCTGCCTTGTAGTAGCTCCAGCCTTGGGCAGGACATTTGGAATGGGGATTCCAAGGCCAGGCAACTGGGCGTGGTGTGCCTTGATTTTCTCCGGATCTTGTGTGGACACTTCCACATCCATGGTGGGTAGCCACAGGTGGCCAAGAGTCAGGGAGCAGGGAGCGGTGGCTGCAAGCCATCTAGAAGAAACCCCCCTTGGCCACGGCCCTCCCCAAGGGCCTGCTCCTGCCTCCCAGCGCAAGCGGTCCAGGTCATGCTTGAAGGGCTTTCATGCTGGGAGACGGGGAACCCAGGCTAGAGAGCTTGGAAACAGGCTATTATTGGATGGCTGCTACCAGCCAGCAGGTCTCTAGGCTGGGACCTCTTGGGGTTGCAGTCCGAAGAAGGCCCTTCTGAAGCTCTGCACTTGGCCATCCCAATGGGAGGTGGAGCCCAGAAGCCCGAGGGAAGCCCCACAATCTCCCCTGTATGTAGCTCAGGAAAAGTGGAGCCTTTTATGCCGGCGGGGGGGGTGGGGGTGGGCAGCTGTCAGGATATACCTGAAAGGGACCTAGCATTTGCCTTTAAAATGGATGGATTCAAAAAACGTTATTGAAAGGGAGGGAAAAAAATAGATCGGTAGACTTATTTGTGAGCAGGTTGAAAACAAACTCTAGAGTTCAGTTTTAAAAGCCATCCTAAAGACAGAGGGCTTTATCAGAAGGGGTGGTCTCCGCTGGGGTTCCCCCTTGGCCCGGACCAGCCGGGAGTTTCCTTTCGAGAGCCAGCAAGAGGAGGTTGGGGATCTCCCCGCTGAGCTGGGGACCCGCTGGGTGGTGACCTTGGGGCTGGTAAGCATCTCTCCTCCCCTCTCCCCCTCCCTCAGGCTGGCCTACCTCGCAGCATTGTTAGGAAGATCAGGTGGGAAGGAGGGGGACCTGGGGGGGGGCTGGAGCTCCCTGTAGGGAAGGCCCCCTTTGAAATGAAATGAAAGGACATCAAGGCATGAGGGGGGCGGCAGCGGCTGCTGGTGCGCGGACAGATGAGTGCTGACCTCCGTAGGCCAGTTCATGGAGGAGCGTTTGTGTGTGTGTGTGTGGGGGGGTAGCTGGCGTCTACAAAGCTTCAAAGCCCAGCTGATGGGGAATGGAGCGAGGGGGGAGTCCGGTAGAGGGTGTGGTCAGCAGGTGGGGCCGTGGTGGTGCAGGTCTCCATGCCAGGAGGGGGAGGAGGGGGGGAGGCAAGCGCTGCCTTTCCTGTTCTCCTCGATTTTGTGGCAATGGCAGCTGTGGAGGTGGGGAAGGACAGATAGAAACACCCCCCCCAGGGAGCCCGTTCCTCCTGCTCGCAGCTCCTCTGGGGTAGGGAGCCAAGAGGAGGAGCCCTTGGAGGCAGAGAGGAGGGGAAGGTGTCTCCCATCATTTCTAACCCCCCCCCCCAGTTGCCTGAGGCAAAAGGAGTGGGTGGCAAGGGAAGGAAAACTGGCTGTGTGTGTGTGTGTGTGCATGCGTGCGCTGCACCTGTGTGTGTGGGAGCCGAAGGAAATGGAAGGAGCAGGGGGTGGCGGGGATGGGGAAGCCAGGCGCACCGCAGAGGGGAGTTTGGGCGCGTGGGCAGCTGTCAAATCGGGGAGGGGGTGCCCTCCTCTGCTCCTTGTCGGGTGCGCAGAGGGGGGAAGGCATCATTGCCAGCAGGAGGTGGCTGTGGGGATGGGATGGGAGGGTAGAATGAGCAAGCAGAGCGGGATGCTGTGGGGCCAGAAAAGCTGGAGGTGGGGAGGTTGGCAGGGTGAGGTTGCTATGGCTACTCTCGTTGGGAGCTGAGCTCCATCCTGGCACTGCGAGGTGGAGGAGGAGGAGGAGGGAGGGAGGAAGGGAGGGGGTGGCGGTTTAGTGGAGAAAGCAGCAGCGTCTGGAGGGGTGGGGAGGGGAGGAAGTGGCAAGGGGGGGGAGATGTTTCCTGCCTGGCATGGGATTGCAGGAGAGAGGGAGGGAGAAGCCGGCATGTGAGAGTAGCGCGGATGGAGGCCCTTCCACAGGAGTTGTCACCCTGGTGGAGTGACCCTGCCAGAGATGATGATGTCTTTCCTTGGGAGGCTCCAGCCATGTGCCAGGCGGGGGAAGAGGGTTTGCCGTGAGTGCCTTTCCTCCAGCAATCTGCTGTGACTCAGAGGGAATGGGCTCCCTC